CTAAACGGCGGACATTTTTTTCGAGAACTTTTCTTTTTTTAATGTGTATCGAATAACCTCCGAACGACGGCCATTTTTTTTATTTTCGGTGTCCGTTGTTCACAGGTTTTAATGCAATTAGATTATTTAATAAAATAATTGTAGAAAAATAAATAAATTAATAATTTGGGAAGAAATTAAGTTAAAAAAATGAATTTTTAAGCATTTTTTATAGTTTTTTTGTGTATAAAATAGAGGCAATTAAATAAAAAAAAAGTAATAAAAATAATTAAATAAGATGATGATGAATAAAATTTATGCAAATTTTATTTACCATCCGAATTTTTCATAATGATGATAAGGCGTTATTAATAATTATTAAGCATTATATAACAATATATTTATTGTTTATTTAATAGTTAATTATAATTTTTAAATCTTTATAAATAAATTTTAAGATATTTTACAGAGTTTATTTGGTGCTTGACTCGATTATTTTTAAGAAAATCGATTTTTTCCACAATCGATTTTATTTAAGAAATCGATTCCTTAAACACGCTGTTAAATAATCTATACGTATTTTTAAATGGTTATTAAAATCTTAAAATTGACATTACATCGTGAGAAAATTTTAAATATAATTAATTTATATGTATAATTAAATAAATTGCTCATAAATGATTGTCTTAAGTGCGAGGGAGGGGTGTTTTATACGAAAAATTGTAAATCTCGCGCGAAAAACCCGCATCTTCGGGAAGTTTTTTGATAAATTTCGTGTGTCCTATTTGTCCGATTGTGATGAAATTTTGCATTAATTTATAAGAAGATGTGATGAAATTTTTCGCAAAATTCGGAGGGTCTAACTTTATTTATTCAGGAGAAAATTCTGCTTAAACACGACTATTCTTTAACATATAAATTCATAGATTAATCATATTCCCGTAGAGATTTTTAAAGAAATATTTAAACGCCTGAAAAATATACCTAACACTAACTTGAAAATATAATATTTATAACATTTTTAAATAAAAAAAACCCCTAACTTTTAGGCTTTTTTAACAACTTTTATTTCATTAAACGTGGATATTTTAACTTGACTCCCTGGCGATTTGGCTTAGAAAGCGTGATGTTTCTTAGAATTTTCTACCTATGAAAGCAAATGATTGAGAATATTTGATATCGATTAATGCTAGAAAGAGAAAATGATGCTCGTACACGCATTTATTCAAGAATAATAACGTGAATAATGGGTGAAAGCATTAAAAATAATGCATCTATAAGGAAAATGACGTTAATAAATGATAAATTATATTAAATATTATGTTATAATGTAAAATAGATAGAATATTTACTTAAAGTCATCAACAGAGGGATGATGCTTATCATATACACCCATAAAAACCCATATAAACCCACACAAACTCACCCATATAAACCCATTTTGTACAGATCAAATTAAAAAAATACTATTTCATTAATTAAAAAGATTTCTTTTTATAATTTTAACATTATTTCTTTATAAAAATTATCGATATGAATTCAATTTATCCATTAAATTATATCCTAAGAGATGATTTCTTACGTCTTTTCTACATCCAAAAGAAAAAAAAAATGATATGATTGGAAATTATATATATTTCCCTCTCCCCTTATAAGAGACGTCACAGGTAACCATGACAACCCGATCAATCTTTTTTGCGGTTTATTAATCGATCGAATTCATTATTCAGAGCCGAAACCCTTCAAAATACCTTCGCTTATATCTGATGATTGATCACTTTTACAGACGGTCACGTGTCTGCATCCAATGGATCGTCCATAAGAGAATTTCTAATTAATTCATAAGAATGGTAGAAAAACGAAAATATAATTTAGTTTCACCTTCGAATCATCGATCTTTAACCTAAATTAAATATATGTATATCTATGTTTTCCATCAACCGACGAGCCTCTCTCCCTCATCAACTTCATCTCTATCTTCTCGTGGTAGCATCTGATAAGATTCGGAGCTTATCCAATTTCTCTTTTCTTTCTTATTTTTAATTTCTTATATCTTTCGGGTGTGGCCTTATAAATACCTTTTCAACACCAGTTAATGGTTTATGAAAGTCGATCATTCATTCCACCGAAATTTTTCCTGTTTTGCCTCCCCCTAAACTATGGAAATTAGAGATTTTTACACGTTTTCTGAGGATTTATAACAAAAAATGTTCCTATTTTCATTCCGAAAAAAACAAATTTACGTGCTTTTAGATAAATCTGACGCACTCCGAAACTTTTTACATAATCTTTCCGGCTTACACAACCGATTTATAACTGTAAAATTCTTGTTTAATAGAGCTTAACAATTAAATTTGTCGATTAAATCTCTACTTTACCGCGTATTAACTTCGTTTAGGTGGTTTATACGGCGAAACCCGTGTAAACCGGAATACCGAGTGCTTTCCCTGTTTAGGCACGTTTCCGTTATAGACAGGTTTTACAGTATTTGAGCGTTATTGTGTAATGACAAAGGATTCGGAGCAACATTAAACATTAGATTAAAGATATTTTTAAAATTTCGAGCTGTTGGCTCGATAGATTTGAGGATAAATTTAATGAGAAAAAGTGTTTAAGTGGAGTAACCAAGCTGTAAATTAGATAATTTTCGATTTTCTGCGCCATGTACGGATGACAATTTAGTGATATCAACACATTAAACGGCATTACCAGTCAGTTTTTCCGACTCATTTATCTAGTCCTTGAATACCTTTAATTATTATACGCTTACAGAGACTCAAACCTCAATTATCTTGATATTTTTCTACTCTATAATAACACCAATGCATATTAATTTCATTATTTTTTGGATCCCTAACCATTTAATTACTTAGAAAAACACGAAAGACTATAGAAAATTAAAGCGGAGACATGCATTAAATAGGGTTTTTTCCGGTGTAAACCCGGATTTTAACCCTTAGTCTTACAGCATACGACGAATTTAATCGTTAATCGTGTTTATCTATTTTAAAATTTAGGTATTAGATAAATTATTTATCGTTTCTGAAGCATGAAATGTTCGTAGGTTTGGTATTTTTTAAGCAACAATAACAGAAGTTATGTCTGTAAAGTATTGTTCTATTATCACGTAATAAGACAATAGTTATTTAAGACATAGTAACAGCAGCAAAATTCCAAGTATAAACTGTAAGTGTTGATTAAATTCGTTTTTATCAGTTGGGTTTCGCTTATGTTTAAAAAACCATCAACGTTAGTAACACGTGTTCCAATGTTTCCCACGTTCCAAGTGTTCCATGGATTAAATTATACTTAAGCTATGATTTTTCAACTGTTCTCTACCATCCTGAAGCTGTATAGCACATGTAATACCCAATAATTTATATAAACTTGTAACACTAGAGAGTCTCGTAACACTCCTAGACGTGGAAACCATATATTTAAATGGAAGGATGAAAAATCCTTTCTTCTCTATTTGCATTTTCCTTAGGTGTGCACCAGTTTTGTAAATTAAGGTTTATTTATTTGGATATTATTGAGTTAAGTTTGATCTTTTTTTAAAGTTTAATTCGATTCTAGTCTCCTTATTTAATGACATATCTTAGTTACATGCAAGTTATGAAGAAGAAAATTGAATTTGGTAGCAGTTAACCGCTGGAGCCTTTCAGTTATTTATCAATTATCAAGTTCTAGATATTTTCTGTTATTCTGTAAATTGGTGAATTGCAAATCATCGGTCCTTTTGGTGGTAATTCGTTTACAAAATCCGAAAAAATATTTCTTCTTATGAGTTAAAAGTGAAGAAGTTTAACAATATCTCTTCGTATCGAGATGTGAAAGTTGTCCAAATTTTTGGATCTTCACCATGAAAATTCGTAAAAACTTGAGTCAACGGAATCTTTCCCATTACATAATTGCAATTCACTGGAAACTCATTTATTAAATTGTTTTTTAATTACTAAATGATAGCAGAACAATCGAATTACAGCAGAACTTATTACAACAGAAGCCATTGTGCCACTCTCGATTTATTCTAATGACAAACCGTAAAATCTTGGATCTTTTCCAGTTCGATTTTTAAACATTTGTAGATTCTTGACACTCCTTTACAAGTGCTTCCGTACTAACATTCAACTTTACAGTTAAATTTAACATTTTCCCTCCCCATTTTATAATCAAAAATGCCATCGAATTACCTCAAACATTTCAAATTATAATTGACGTCTGCAGGTCTGTTCCAGTTTAATCATTATATAGGACTATAAACTTGAATATTTCCTCGTGTTGAGATGTATTTTTTTAACCTCTTCTTACTCACCACTCGAGAGAAAATGGAAACTAAATTCTACACTTATTAAATCGAGTGAACTCTGTTAACTCTCGCTGCAAATTTTTATAAAATTGACTTAAGTATATGTGATCATCGTCCTCGGACGTGAGTTTATATTTTCATGCCCTAATTATTTAAAATTGCTTCGATAATGACACACAACGCATAGAAGTATTTCTTACACGACAGCGCCATTACTCACCTCACATCATCGTGACTAAAGCAAATTTCTAACTCAATTTTTTTTTCTTCCTGTTAAAATGTCGTCGTTAATCTTTAAAAGTTTTGTATTTTTCTTTTGATTTTATATTTCACCACATGATCTTTGGTGAGTTCGTACATTTTTATCCTTCTCCGAGCTTCTCCTCCTCTTCTTCGTTTCCTATAAAAACAATAATATTATAATATTTTCCATAAAAGAAAGTATATTTAAAGTAAATTGCTTCATAGAAAGATAATATATATATGTATTCATTAATAATTTAATATTTATTTATATTTTTACGTGACGCGTAGAGTTAAACTCGTAGGCGTATTTAAATTTCCCTAACTTGATCACATTTTCCGATGGTAAAAACTCGATTAATATGTGAATTTTAAGTTATAAAATTAATCATTTATGGAAAAAAACAATCTAAACTTATTATTTTCTAAAATTTTTTTACGAATTAATGAAGATTTTTATCGTTTTCAGGCGCCATGTTCTCTCTAAAGTTCCTATACAACACCCCTCTCGGGGCGATGATCACGGGAAGAAGTAAAAAAGAACGTAAAGATGAAGTGATTGTGGCAGAATCCGATCCAAATTTAGATTTGAATCCCGTTTTGGCATCGTACGTTCGATCCATACCTCGAGCCCAATGGTATCGTAATGTGTTATTACAGGGATACTTAGTACCACCCAACGTTCTCTATCGATTAGACTCTTTCGAAATCCGTCCCGATGACGTCTTCATCATCACTTATCCCAAATCAGGTAAGAGATGAGATGATAAAACATCCGGTAACATCGGATAAGACATCTTCAACAGCCGATTTAACATAGAATTAGGCTGATTAAACAGAAAAATATGATCGAGTTTCGATATCTTTTACACTCCAAAACAGTATACGGATAAGAAAAATGTTCAGTAAAACTTTACGCAAATTTTTATACAGATTTAAGTTAATCTATTGTGTATATCGTACAATCTCTGGTATAATCGGATTTAAAACCGTCTAAACTTATTTTTTTCCTCGACTTATTGAGGATATTTTACAAATTAATAAAGATATTTATCGTTTCCAGAAGCCATGTTCTCTCTAAAGTTCATATACAACAACTCCTCTCTGTTATATAGTTATTATATATATATAATAACTAAATTCCTTTATTATTTCGATCCTATTATAATGAGCTAAGTCTATCAAAGCTTAATTTTCGCGTAAATATTTAAATGTTTGTAGGTTGGAAACGTTTAAAAATTTATTTAGAAATAAATTATACATTTTAAAATATAATATGAAGGAAAAAAAACAGAAAATATATTACACAATTTATAAGAAACGATAATATTTTTTGGTGTTCTTCCAAAGAGCTCATTGACTGCATGACCTAGTTCCTTTTAAAATGGGTCAATGGAAAGCATTGAGTTCCATTCGGTTGGATATTAGTTATTTTTTTAAGTATCAAAATCATTATCAATGTCTAGAAAGGGCGTACGATATTTATATTTATAAAAATAATTAACATTTTCGAAGTTTAACATTAATTTTCCACGCGTGTAAAGACGACAGAATTAAATTTATGAGGGCAACCTTCGAGTAAATTGCCAATCTAACCAGTTTATTATGAGGAGTAAATATGCAGAATTCGTTTATTTAACACGCTAAAAAGTCAAATTAAATTTATTTTTCTACTTTAAAAGAAACGGAATTTAAAAATTAACTAATTACGTTAACTTTTAATTAACTAATTTACGGGTCAATGGCATCATTAGTGTAATTTTTCGAGTGACGAAAGAACGTAATTAACTGAAATCGTGATAAGAATTGTTATTTTTCAGGTACCACGTGGACAGAAGAGATTGTATCACTTATATATAACGATGGAAACACTAATAAAGTAAAGGATAAATTATTAATTTATCGGGTTCATCATTTGGAAGTTGCTCGCCCAATAGGGCATTGGAGGTTCTTGAGGAATTTAAAATCACCCCGATTAATGGCCACACATCTTCCACTACCTCTCATCCCAACTCAACTCAGACAAGCCAAGTGTAAGGTGAGCTGCTAGGATTTCGCAATTGTTACGCTATGTAACCGTGTTTACACGCGATTGAGCTCGCTTGTTGGGCTTCTTAGATTTAAAAAAAACCCCAGAAAATTAAACTTTTGGTCCCCCCCAATTAACGCGGATAGAGTATAAGTTACGATTCTATAAACGAAAATTAAAATATATATATATTATTATTATTAATAAAGGGAAATTTTTTGATATGTGTGCACTTTAACTGATTAGGAAAAGACGTGTGTAGGTGGATAACAATGCAGTTTCCATGGATACCATCTGAAAATTTATCGTATTTCTAGGAAATATTATAAATATCTTTGCGACTAGATAATTAATTATTGCTCGAGTCTTGCATATATTTTGTTAATTTTTTTTTCCAGATAATTTATGTAGTGAGAAATCCTAAAGACAATGCCGTATCTTACTATCATCATCACAGAATGAGTACTTTCCTCGGCAATTATAAAGGAACGTGGGATGATTTTCTTACCTACTACATGAAAGGTTACAGTAAGTATATAGAGACACAATTAACCGTTGCCCCTGTATATGTATCTTTGCCTCTTAGCAACCGTAATTGCAGTGTAAACCGATTGACAGGGGCAATATTTATCCGTTATAAATCTGCGACGTTTTGTGTGATATAGAGCATGTACTTTGCACGATTTATATGTTTTGATAGTGGTAAATCGATATTTTAAACAAAGTGTGATAAATAATGTAAATTTTATTAGCTTAAAAAATTCATGCTTTGTTGTTTAATGGAAACAATCTGATCGAATGGCTTTCTTTTTTTTTTTTTTGTATAATAGAAATATTTATTTAAAGAATTAACTCTTTAAATGTATTATTATTTTTTTCTGTCTATATTTAAGTCGGCCGACGAGAAAAATCGAAAATTTAAGCAAATTTTCTCTTTGTAATTTTTAAAAAATGGATGAACATTTCAAATCTTTTATCTTAACATCTATTGCGACACAAACAATGTCTTAAATACAAACCAAGCATTTCTAATTAAAAGTTATTTCTGTTTAGGACTTTTTTTTATCCTTTTAAGCTCGATATCCTGGTTCAAAATAGATAATTTTATCGAATATCGTTACGCTTCGTTAACTGCTTTTATTCTTGTTTGTGTTCTAAATAATTATATCCTGTACAGTTTTTTCCGTATTTTTAATAAATATTTTAACAATATTGATTATGAATAGATTTGAAAATAGGAAAAAAGACTTTTGATATGAATTCTTTAATGATATCGATCTTAAAAGTTTCTTGTTTTCCTTTCAACAGTGGTCTACGGATCGTGGTTCGATCACGTTCTTCCTTATTGGAAATTCGCTCAGGAACACCCGAACAAAGTTCTTTTCATATCTTTCGAAGAACTGAAAATGGTATGAATATTTATTATCTACATTTTTATATGTTTTTCATAATATTGTATGAATATATATATATACTAAGTTCGATCGCTTTAAGTCTGGATTAAAAAGTCAACCAAGGTCAAATATAAGTGGGTCATAACCCAAAAACCTATCACTTACCTCCTGTTATTATGGCATAGTGTGATGATTACGGTGAAGTAAAATGTCCAGAAAACTCTTATGACATAATATTAATAAGGAGAAAGCCATCGACTGTCGACTTACTAAATTATTTTCTGCTGTAATTGGGTGTGGCTTTTAGTAATTTTACTACGTTAGAGCGTAGAACACTTTATATTTCTTTTCTTTCCTTCCAGCTTTTAATTTATTACTGTTTGAAAAATTCTCGAAATAATCCGTAATGTATTACAATTATAATTTCTTTTTTTTGTAGGATCTTTCTGGAATGGTAACACACATAGCAAATTTTCTCGAGCGCCCACTAAAGCCAGAAGCTATCAAAGCCATAGCTAATCATTGTTCTTTCGAGCAGATGAAGTGTAATAATATGGTTAACAGAGAAGTTCTGCCGATTTCGGATATTTTCGACATGTCAGAATCGAAATTTATGAGGAAAGGTAAAGTAATTTGCTATCCGATTTCTTAAATTTGCCATCGAAACGACATCCTAAACTTCCATTTACTGTACTTTTAGGCATCATCGGAGATTGGAAAAACTATTTTACTCAGGAACAAAACGAAGCATTTGACAAACTTTACAAAGAAAAAATGGAGTCTTCGGGACTCGACTTGGTATTCGAACCCGAAGATGCATACAACAGAATGAATGCTTACGGAAGGCTCATCAAACCCTCTCCATTCATATACCAAAATGGTATCAAATCCCAAACTACCTGACGAGAAGGAATGTTCAAATTCTTTAAAAAAATAAATAAAATATACATTTATATAATAATAACAACAATAATTAATAAATAAGAAACAAGATTTTATTGTTTCTTCCATTAAAAAAAACACCGTTAACTGCCACTGTGTGAACAAGTCTGTGCCCATCTAGTAACTTGCTAGATAGACATTAATAGCTCGAACATTTAGATAATGTTTATATATATATATATTAAAAAATAAATAAATATTATAAAGTAGTTTTATGCTTAATATATATGTGTAAGCATATTTAATTATTTTTAAAAAAATGCCTTTATTGTTTGCCAATAGACGTTCCAAAATGGGAAATGCCAAAGTCTCGAGCACTTTCAATTTTTTTGTACATAAAATTCTTAACGAAAAAAATAGTTTTAGAAAAATTCTCACCGAAAAAATTTTAAATCTATCAGCTTTAGATGCTTTTTATAGTATTTGTGCATCGAAAAATAATATAAAATATACAATTTTTAATTGCATTTATCAATTTACTTTCTCGACAATCGAATTCCTAGTCAAGGTAATGTTACTTATTATTAATATTACTTTTTTTTTTTTAATTCTCTCCTTTTAAGAATAGAAAAATCCGAATGGAAGTTAATGAAGATTAAACTTCTTTATATTTTTAAGAAGTTTAATTCGGACTATAACTAAAATAAAATATAAAAAAGTGCGTGTAAATGTTGGAGTATTCTAGCCACGTGCCATCCATTGGCATGGATGCTACTGGATGCTACTAAACACGAAGATTTATATATTGATAATAAGGGAGTTTGTCGAAATTTATGTTGGTGTAATTAATTTTTAGTTTTAAAATTTATAAAATATGGCGAAATTATTGATGTACAGTCGTTTTTATTATGTTTAAAAACCATGTTCCAATTTAATCATTTAATTTTGTATTATAAATCGATGTAACTAATGATAAATTTGAATTCATAATAATTAATTAAAATTTTCTTTATTTGTTAAAAATGAATCCGAATCTTTAATTTTTCGTGTCTTTTTTTTTTATATAATTTCGATCGATATCGATTGATATTCTGTATCTATATTCTCCTATTAAAAGTTTACATTTCCTTTGTTCGTCAGTATGTCTGTCTACAGAATTTTTCAGAAACTAAAAAAGATGAAGATATTTTTTTTTCTTAGTCTGTCGTCAGTTTGTATGTCGGTCCTAAACGAATTTAAAAAAAAATTAACAATTTATTTAATGCTATTTTTTTCGGAAACATTTTTTGTACACAGAAATGCGTACAAAAAAAAAGAGATAAAATTAAATTTTCGCTTAATATTTACTAAAAATTATCGAATTTAATCTCTGTTTATTTATAATTTGCATAAATAAATTCAAATATTTGCTATTTTAAACACTAATTTAATTCCTTTTTAGCATCATTTAATACTCTGAATATTTTTATCTCGATTAAATTATTTTTAAACAGCAATTAATTAGCAAAAAAAAAAAAAACATTAAATTAAACATAAAATAGTCTATTAAACTTCATTGTTAGAGCCATAAAGTGATATTTTTATTTTCCCATTAAGCAATAAAATAAAGATTAAAAGTATGTATAAAAAATGTTATCCTTATTTTTCCTTAATAAATTTTCTTTATCCTTAATTATACAATAAATATAACGAATTAAGATACACAATTTTCCTGTTAAGTGTACAACCCAGTAAATTTAATATTCTATAAATGTGTTTTTTTTATTTATTTAGACATTAATTTTGGACGAATGTTAGATAAATATAACATTATAAACTCTTGTAACCTTGAAAATTTTAATTGTACAAGCACTTTAATCAAGTTCTAAACTCAAGATTTATATTAATAATTTATAGATTGATTAGATAAATATTTCTGTTGTTAATTATAAAGTAATTATCAAGGAATTAATTATCTTAACTGCAGAATTATCTGTGAATAAGCTAATATAATGATAAAGGGGAGAGATAGAGCGGTCTATTCGTTAGAGTTGCGAAATTTGCGAGTGTAAAAAAACTCTTAAAATTATCATTTTCTGTAACTAAAAGTAATCTTCTCCGTCTTCTGCATAAAATAAATCTCCATCTTCTTCATCTTTTTCATAAAATAAATTTCCATCATTAGCATCATTATTAAAGCTCTTATACAGGGCTTTAATAATGATGTTAGTGATGGAAGAGAGAATTATCTATTGTATTATAATTACCTTTATGCGCTGACACTGATCTGTGATATGTACTGTACGTAGTGTATAGGTTACTTAACGTGTTATTATCTTCTCCTTTTATTTCAATAATCGATTTTGTTACAAAGTGTTTTTTTTTTCTTTTTTATCTCAAGCTACGGTAGGAAATTTCACAGTAATTTGTTCATATTTCAGAAATTTCTACGTATTGTGACGAGTATTTCATGTTTTTAAACACGATTTGAAGATTCGGAAGTTTATACAAATGTTAATTCTTGCTTTTTAAAATTATTATTTAAATTTATTGGCTTCTATTACTTTTTTTAGCACGAAAGCTAAAGCGAAGATAGGAAAAAAGCAACAAAAATTATTTATATGCAAAAAATAAGAGACAATACTAGAAACTACAACGAAACCTCCTAATGTTATCATTGAAGGGACCAGCTCAAAGTGATCATCTTACACAGGTGATCACCTTATGCAGGCCATCTCTGTTAGACCAGTTTACGATTTAGCTCATATGATATAATATCTGCAGCTTTCTGTGTATGAAATACACAGAAAGCTGCAGATCTGGTGACAGCTGTCAGACAATGGAAACCGTCTACGTATAAACAGTATCTGATAGAAGGAGAAAGATAGACGTTTACGTTATTATTTGAATGAAAAACCTGGACAGGCTCAAAATAGAACTACGGAAGACACCTTTTTTCCTCGAAAGACCTAGATAATGTAGTGCTAATCCCTATTTAAAATCTACCAAATTGCAAGAAATTTACAATAAACATTGGTAAATTTAACCGCAAGCCAAACTGATAGATCGCATAGCAGGGGAAGCGGGGTTATTTGTGATACTTTGGATGTTTTTTCCCTGCGCTCCTTTACACGTGTAACAGTTTAAAAAATTAATTAAATTAAATTTAAAACGTAAATTAAAAAAAATTTAATGTAGTATATACTTTGTACAATATTTGTCTTGTTGGACTGCAATTTGAAAAAATTGTAGTATAAATTTCCACTGTCTTTCCTTAATCTCGAGAATGGAGTTAGATAGATGAAAGACGAGACCAGATATGGAAACCTTAGGGGCAAGAGGCTCCGATTAACTATATACAAACTTTCTACACAAACCAGTTATTTCAATTTTAAAATGTTTCCCCAAAAAGTATTAGATAGATGATTTGCACGATTCTAGTGTTAAAGGAAAAGTGTGATGTACGGGGGCAAGCCACTACTTATTTGAGGTAGAAAGCATATATTTTAAATGAAATAAATTAAAAATTGCAGCTCGGCATGGTGTCGATGTTACAATAAATAATTGACCGGTCATATTAAAAACGTTCGGGAAGTTTTGGACTAATTATTGATTCAATCATTTATAATAACAGTTTTATCTAATATCAATATTAGAACAACTATGTAAACATTTGTTTTAAAAAGGGGATTAGAACATAACCAAATTCTATTTGAAATTGAAAAAGTAGAGCAAGTTTAGGGAGTCTTTTCCCTCGTAGTTATTCATTGCAGTTGCTTCTTACCGTCTTATTCCCGTACAAAATTTCTGCAAGGTTAAAAGTTAATACAGTATCAAAATTCTTCGCAACATTTAGAATTGAATATTCCAATTTGTATTAAAAACAGTCAAATAAGAATTGCGGGTGGTAGGTATCTGCAGGTATTGTACTTGTATATACCACCTGTTCTCACACGCGTACGCATCGTATTCTATTGGCAGGGTCATCGAGAGCTTGTACGGGGCCCCGAAGTACAGCGGATCCTTTTTTTTGAACAAATTAAATACGCAGAATATTTCTTTATTAATAAAAAGCAATCTTTAAAACTATTTTCTGTTAGTAAAAATTACATTAATTCTGTAGGAGAAAGAACCACTGAGGACACCTAAGTTTTCTCTGGGCTCGGTAGAAAAATCATCAGTTTCCCCCTCTCGACGGCCCTGCCTGTTGACCCTGTGTAATGCTGTGCGATAGCTTCAAGCTATCGATGGTTTCGTGCAATCCTCGACGATGGATCAATGGTTACGTCTGGACATAGTCTAGTTTTTATTTTGACTTTTTCCACCCTGTGGGCATTAAGAGGATCCTTATTTTTCAATCATGCCCGTCATGGGTTCGGCCGTATCTATAATGGAAGCAGTCGCGTTTTCTAACAAAAACTTTAGTTGAAATAGGTAAGTCAAACGCGTCTGATTGTTTCAACAAATAATAATAAATGTTCGATAACTGATAACTCGATAAAATTAGATTAATTAGAATTATTTACTTATTTTCCAGAATAGTTACTGCCTACTTAACGCTAGGTGTCCATCAAATTTTACCGCAATGCCTCAATTTCTGGTTTTGAACTTATTGCAACACTAGTCGTGATCAGCGACGTTCGCAAACTATACAAAAAGAACACAAGCTATAAAACAGGGCATCGCACATTATGCAAGAAACTTCAAACTCTATGATTCAACATCGGATCAGCGCTTCCACAAGATGGCACTACAGTAGTTGCAATCGGGACTACTAAGATTTCTTGTTTTCGAGGCCAAGTTTCGATCAACATACACGAAGTTGCGTGGGACAATGGACAAATATCGTTCATTCGTTTCTTTTATATTTGTAGAATAGGCTAGAAAGTCGTAAATTTTCTGTTGTTTGTTGATCATGAAATTTGAAACCACCTTAGACTTTAAGAAAAGGCGACACAGACGAAAAGAGGGAGCATGTGCCCCAAGTACTCCAATGTGGCCAGATGGCCGAGAGGTAAAGATGGAAACTTACCGCTCTGGGAACCCGGGATCGATCCGGACGGGTGGAAAAATCCCCAGGAGTTTTTCGGGAAATGATCCGACCGGATATGTCGGACCCGTCCTTTACCATCCGGCCTCCCCATGGTGAGCCCGGCCGAACCTATAATGGGTTGGCTAAAAGAGGCCCTCTTAGTGCCCACAGGCCGAAAAGAGTTAAAACTCTTTCTTTCCTTTGCACATTTTTACACAACGAGTTAGAA